CCACTCCAGTATCTTTACCAAGAAAACCCCAAAAGAGGTTATGAAGAGTCAGACACAACTGAACAACACACAGGCAGTATGGGCCAGAGGGAGGACTTGAACCAGAGATAGTCAGGAGACTGTGAGGCCAGAGGCTACATCACATTGCCTCTCTAACTCTATTTGTCTGTCAACAAAATGGAGACTCGAGTTTCCCACAAGTGACTGCGAGGTGTCGCACAACTGCATTAGTCTTAAAGCTGATACTGCTGGAAGTTGCTCCAGAACCCAACATTCTCTGGGAAGGGCAGCAGCCACTGGCCCTTTGCTCACCCCTGCTGCTGGGAGAGGGCTGGGTGGTCCATCCTGCATCTTTGATGCCATTTGCAATCTGTGGAAGAAATAACCCACTCCGTGATGCTGCCAGACCATACCAATCTGCTGTAAATTCCTGTCTCCTTTCTACAAAACTCTTCTCTTCGGAGGTCCAAGTTGGGTCTTGGCAAGACAGGATGCTGGAATTTTTAGAACATCTAAGAAGTTGGAAATTTGAGCTGCTTTTCGATACCCAGTTTTAGGTGGTTTGCAATGGAAATCTGCCCTTTGTTTCAGCCTCAGCCGTGGCAAGCAGCCATCCCAGCAGCGCCATTCTGCTTTGTGACCTCAAAAATGACTATGTCCTTACCTCAAACACATTTCTGCCGAGCCAGGGTTTAGGAAGCTGCAGTGTTAAACAAAAGTTCCTCTTCCACATAGAGCTAAATGCAGAGTTTTGTAGGAAAGTAGCAACAGAAATAACTTGGGGGCCACGCACAAATGGAAGTGCTTGGTAAGGGAGAAGTTCCGGGTGGTACCCAAGTGGAAGATGCCCCAGTCCTGTGTTCTCTTAATAAGAAGGCATGATGAGGGACCGGGGGAAGAGGGCCAGCTCAGGAATTGGAGGACCCTGGGACAAGTCCTAGCTTGGCTAGGGCTTGACTTTGGGCAAGTCTCCCCCTCCCCAATCTGAGGAGTTAGACTGGATGATCTGTGCACAGTGGACCTGGAGTCAGGAAGGCCTGAATTCAAATCTAGGCCTAGACTGGGTAGGCAAGTCACCTCTCTACCTCAGTTTCCTCATCTGTGAAGTGGGAACAGTAATAGCACCTATCTCCCAGGGTTGTTAAGAGGAAAGAATGAGATAATTTTTATACAATGCTTTGCAAACCTTAAAATGCCATGTAATCTCTAGCAGCTGTTGTTATTGCTATTATTACAGTTCTAAATATGTGTTTCCTTTGTAATACCCAGCAGAACTGCCATTGCAGGCAATCAGTGAAACGACGTGGCCCAGGCCCCACAGCCAGTGCACAGTGGAGCCGTTCCTTGAACCCATGTCTCCTGATTTCCAGGCCAGGTCTCTCTCCACCATCCTGTGTACACTAAGTCCCAAAACACATTAGTAAGCACACATTCCACAGAGGCAGAGGCATAACAAGGAATTTTTTCTCCTGGGAAAAAACAACAGTTGAGGGTAACAGGAGAGGCATGGAAGAAGGGGGTGGTCCATCTCCTCCCCTTCATTGAACGTAGGGTAGTTCTGTTCCCTTGTCCTCTCCTGGGACTCACCCCTAACCTCTATTGGGGTTGGGGAACGGCAGACACAGGACTTGCTCCATGAGGATGTAGCATGGCCCCACCTGGAGGAAGACATCTGCCCCTGAGGCACATCCCTCACCGCTGCCCTGGGTGTGAGTCTGCATGCACAGAACAGAAAAAAGGGCACACATAGTGGGAGAACACTCCCTTTTCTAGCCCTGCTATTCAATTGTGTTCTGTTCAATTTGTTTCACTTCAACAAACATTTATTGGGGCAAAAGACAGTGATTCAACAAACATTCTTACTGTGCCCAAAACAAAACAAACCGAAATATGTGACTTGGTAAAAAGAAGCAGGTAATCTCAGGTAGGTAATCTGAGAGGGAAATTCACTCGGATTCACAAGCTGATTGGCCTGCGGAAATGGGAGAGCTGCTTGGCCCAGCAGAAGACTCAGATGCCCAGCAGCAGATGAAAACAGCCTGTAGGAAGCCTGGCTGGTCCAACAGAGACACATCAAAAATGACACGCTCCACAAGAACTCCATGAGGACACTATAAAGTGAGAAAAGGGATTACAGGGCCAAGAGTTGGCAGGTACCCATTGTACCTACACTCTGTCTAAAAGCATGTCTCACCATAAGAATATTTTAGGTTTTGGCCCATACTACCCACGTGGTGGGGGGGGGAGGGAAATGTTTTGTACCAAATGTTCTTACTATTCCTTTTAAATAAATAAATTTTCTAAAAGCTAATGGAGTTCAATTGGTTGACTAATAATGGGGAGCACACTGGTGGGGGCTCAGAAGGAAAGCGTTAGAAACCACAAATCCCTTGTAAATATGCCTATAATTCTAAGGGGAATAATAGACAGTATACTCTTCAGGTATCCCAACTGTGAGTATGAGTAGGGAAAGTGACCCCACCAGGGTGCTAGGTCATAATACTGCTGAGGTTTGGCATCAATCTCACTGTCTATAGCTTCTCTCCTCCTTTCGAAAAATGGGGATATTTTACATCCTCTTGCATTTCTCCCATGGTCACTAGGGATTCTGAGATCATGACTGCAAGTTCTTTCAATGACCTAAGTCTAATTCATCTAGGCCTGGAGGCTTTCATGACACTTGAATTTAGTAGTTTCCTGATGCCATGGGAGATGGTGGAATAAACTTTCTTCTTATAGACTCCTAGGATGTTGGAGTTGCGAGGGACCTTGGAGGACAGAATGTCAAAGCTAGGTGGGCCTGTAGAACATAGGACATCAGAGCTGGGATGGCCCTTAGAACTGAAGAAGGTAGAGCTGGGTGGGATTTAGACCAGAGGATATCAGAGCTGGGATGGAGCATGGAATGTCAGAGCTAAGAATGACCCTAAAAGTCATTTAATCTCACTCCCTCAATTTGCAGATGGGAAACTAAGGTCCAGAGACTTGGACAAGGACAACAAGAATTGTCTCCAAATCCCGTTGTAAGGTGGTTGCCTCCTTTTAGACAGGGAGCTCCACTCAGGGTGTATAAAGTGGTTCATTAATGCTAAATCTCTTTGGTGCTATAGCTGCCTATCCATTGACTATACAAATGCAGGGACCTTCTGGTCCATAAGTCAAACCTGGTCTTTGTCTTTATCCATTTTGTGGTGTAAATAGCAAGAGGAGAGACTTCTGATGTATAATAATAAAATAATATAAAAATAAAATAATAATAATAAAAATAGGGAAAAAGCCCACACCAACGAACCCAGTCAGTTCTGAACAAGTTCCTCAGTTAATCAATAGAGTTAGAAAGTCTGCCGTCAGATGAAGGTGACCGCCCAAGGATCAGCTCACATCTTTGGGTGGCCTTAAAAATAGTGAGCTGAGGGGGCAGCTAGGTGGACACCTACTAGCTGTGTGACCCTGGGCAAGTTGCTTAACCCCAATTGCCTCACCAAAAGGCTTAAACAAAATAGGGAGCTGGCCAGCTCTAGATTTCCTGGGCCCTAAGTTTGGTGTCTGCCTGTTCTCTTGGGCTGTTTGCAGAGTTTGCAAGCGCAAGGAGAAAGGGTCTCTCTCTTCTCCCACTTCCGTTGCAGGGGCATCTCACAGCAGAGGACTCCAGGGTCTGGACATGGAGTCAGGTGGAGCAGCAGCTGAGAGGCGAGAGAGCCAGCAGCCTGGGCCCGGGATCTGCCACTCAAAACATGGCAGTGCTCTGGCAGGAGGAGCTCCTGTCAGTCAATCTTGGGGAGTGGGCTCTGGTTCTTCCCTAAATTGCACAATACACCAGGTCAGTATCTCAGCTGAACCCGAATTTGGTGATGATTGAGACCATGGTCAAGCATTGGAGCCTTGGAAGAGGCCCAATAGGAGGCCGGGGTCCCCACTGAGCGACTGAACCCACAGAGAGCCACAACTCCTTAAGAAGTTGGAGGTTCTTTGTGGGGCCCCACTCCTAAACTGACAGCTCACCAGCCCCCTCTGGTGTGCAGTCTGCAGCAGCTCGCCACTGATGTGTCCTTAAGAAGGGGTCTTTCAAGGTCTTTTAGCTCCTAGGCCCAGGGAGCCTAGGATGTTAAACCTGGGAGGGCCTAGAAGATCTAGAACATTAGAACTGGGATGGCGTCTAGAATATAACACATCAGATGTGGAAGAGACTTTAGACCACAGAACAGCAGAGCAAGAAGGCCCTTCAGCACACAGGAAGACAGAGCTGGCATGGACCTTTTAAGACAAAATGCCAGGGACTCTCTCAGCCCTACAGCCCGTCACACCTGAAGCTGGAGGCTGGAGCCAGCCAACCAAGCTGGACCTCAGGTTCCTGACGCCAGCCAGCAGGCATTAAAGGCCACTTTTAAAATGCTTTTCCGTGTTCTTTGAAATCTGTCTACTCTTTGAATAAAAGAGAGAACATTTTTTTCAACTCTCTTGAATTCTTATCCTGACCTTTGTTTCATGATATCTTTTATCCATATACCAAGCTCATTAGGGATTCCTGGAAAGCTGTAACAACAGAAATAATCCTGTTTGATGATCCTCTGATTAAAAAAACGCCAGGCTAGGCTAAGACAGGGAGATGTATGTTCCACAGAGCCCACTGTGGTGATGGAGGAGATTCAGCACAGGGACTGGGTCAGAGGGATCTCTCCTTTAGATGCTCCTGTTTGTGCATCAAGGCCCAGAGCCTCCTGGAATCACCCAAAGGGGTCCAGTCTGTCCATCCACACAGGAATATCTAAATGGATAAAAAGTATCTATTGTCCAAAATTCAACATGGATCTGAATTATCCCTATAGGGATTATCCATCAGTATCAGGGTGGACGATAAAATGGGTGGACAAAAATAATACAGGTGGACAACAAGCTTGGCTTAGATTTGAAAAGGAAGATGAAGCCAATTCAGGGAATTTATTTTGCTTGACTATACATATTTGTTGCAAGAGTTTTTGCTTTATTTATTTTTAATGAGGAGCAAGAAAAACAGGTTTTTGTTCATTGAAAAAAATATATTTTTAAAAGGAAGAGGAAAGTGGGCTGGATTAATTTGTGAGAAATGTCAAAACATCTTTCCTGACCCTGAACTTCCCATACTAGCCAGGGCCCATCTTTTCAGGACAAACCAGGGGTGGAAAACCTGTGGCCTTGAGGCCACATGTGGCCTTCTAGATTCTTAAGTGCAGCCTTTTGACCCAATTCACTTTTATTTGGATTCAGTTTGGGGGTTTTTTTGGATTTCAATTCAGTTTGGATTTAGTAAAAAGGACAAACATTTTACCCGAGTTACTAAACAAAGAGGCAGGAACCCCACTACCTTGGAAGAGCTCAAAATGAGCATCACGCAGGGGGTGGAGAAAGGTGGGGGGTGGGTGACCCTCACAACTCAGGAACTACGAATGAAGACAGGAGTAAGGGCACCTTCTGTCATTGAGGAATGTTAGGCTAGGAAGAAAAGTTGGGCTGGTCACATGGCAAGAGCAAGGCATGTCCAGGGGACATTGGGCGCCGCTGGTGTCAGAAGAAATTAAGGCCGCCAGTCCATTGGGTGGGCCCTGGGAGTGGACTTATGAGAAGCCAGAAACCCAAGTCACCAGGGATGGGCAGCCACCTTGCGTTCTGCATCCTCCGGGGCTCCCAAACGGAGGAGCTCAGGCACTGGTTTGAGTGTCGGGCCCCTGGCCACACCGAAAACCACCCTCTGGGAACTTCCCTTGGACAGACCAGAGGAGGAGGGGGAACTCCGCGACTTTGTCCTGCCAACATCCCCACCCCCACCCCACCTCTCAGCCCTCCCTACATAGGCGTGTATACCCTGGGGGGAAGTCTCTCTCTGTCTGCGCCTCTGAATCTTTACTTTCTCCTTTTTCTGTCGGCCTGAATCTCCCCTCCCACAACATTATGGTAATTTATTCTCCTTTTCTTTGTCTCGCCCGTCCCCGTGGGCTTGCTCCCTGAACTGATCTTAATGTATAACCTAAGTTCTTCAGTATTAGTTGTAATGACTGCCCGAGGGCTTCCTCTTCCTCTTCCTCATTTGAGTTTTATGTTTGACCTTCTCCATTCTAGAAGCAAACAGAAAACCACAACAACTCCAAGGTGTTTTGCGTTATGTGTCCCTTGTGGGGGGAGGGGGAGACCTCCCGACCCAGAGGGAAGAGAAAGTGAGGCTGGTGACTTTGCAAAGTCTCCCTCACTTAAATCCAAGTCACTTGTAGGTCATAGCGCCATCTCCCTGATGTCTTGGTCCTCTGAGAACAAAAGACAGACATTGTCCTTGCAGGCATGGTGACAGAGGGAAAGGCACAAGTGCTCAAGCCAAGGATCTGGGTTCGAATCTCACCTCTCATATTTATTTCCTGTGTGGCCTTTACCTAGGGCGTCAGTTTCCTCCTCTGTAAAATAAGAGCATTGGACCAGATGGCCTCTGAGGCCTTCCTAGTTCTACATCTGTGATCCTACTGATGGGATCTCGCCCCGAGGCAAGCCCCTCATCCCCCTTGGGCCTCAGTTTCCCCCTCCACTGAACGAGAGAACCTCAGCCATCTCTTCCATTCCCCTTGGCAGTGGCTCCTGGCCCACAGTAGAAGGCTGCCATCCCTGCCACCCTGGGCCCCTTCTGGTTGCAAACTAACAGCAGCACTTCTTGAAAGCTCTCCCGAGAACAGAATAAATGACTCCCTTATGGAAACCTAAGTCTACTGTCACTCTCCCAGTCTTTGACTTTGTTCTGAGGGAGCTGAGAGCTTCTACCCCACCAGCTGATATTTTTACTGTGCCCAGTGTCGGGGTGGGGGGTGAGAGGGGGCAGGGGGAGAGTTCAAAGAAAGACCTGGGCTTTCAGTGAACCCAGCTGTGGCCAGAGTCCCATCGCTCCAGGTGGGGAGCAGACGCTTCTAGGGTGAACGTGGCTGGTGTACCTTTGCCAGCTGGCTCTAGAGAGTCGCTCAGGGAAATCCGGGCTCTTCTTTCCGATGCACAGAAGCAAAAGGAAGCTTGTTGCAGCCCTCCGGAAGAGCCCCTTCAGGCTCTGTTACCTGCAAGCATCATTGCCGCTTCATTCGTCAGCTGCTTCCTGTTTTCCTGAGCCAAAGGTTTTGCAGTAGACTTTCCTTTAGACATAAACAGAAAAAGGAATGATTTTCCGACGTAATTGGTGAAAGACCAGCAGGTTAGCTCCAGGGAGGAAGGGAGTCGCCAGCTCCAGGCCATAGGAGACATAACGGGTAGTGCTGGGCTGGGAGTCAGGACCTGGATCCAGATTCTGGTTCTGTCAATTACTAGCTATTTGGCTTTGGAAATGACATTTTAGCTCGCTGGGCCTCAGTTTCCTTTTCTGCAAAGGGAGTAAGTTGGACTCCAGGACCTTTAAAGTTCCTCTTACTTCTAAAATCTATGATTCTATGCCCAGGACCAAATGAGATCACATATAGAAAGCACTCAGCAAACCTTCAAGTTCCCTGTAGATGCTAATTATTATTATTTATCATCATTTTTATTAGCATTCCTTTTAAACATCTGGACCTGTGCTTTTCACACAGGGAACTCCCATGCCGCAACTCTCTCTCCCAGCATCTATTTATGCCTTCTCTGTAACATCCTGAATGGGTTACCTGGGACACAAGAGGTCCTGTGACGTGCCACAGCTAATATGTGTCAAAGGCAGGATTAGAACCCAGATCTTCCTGACTCTGAGATCAGTCTTGTCTTCTCATTGGTGTGCTTATTAATGCAAAAACAACACATCAACTAGCAAAACAAAGCGTGAAGTTCTTTAATCAGCCTGGTGTTGGCCATCTGATGACTGTGACTGGGGACAGCCCCTGGTGGCCCACCTTGGCTTTGCCTAAGAGCTGACTTAGAATGGCCCAGATCAGGAGAATGTAATTATTTGATTAAATAGGCCTCATTAATAATGTCTTGATGTTGTCAGGGATATTAGCACACTGCAGAAGGCTGCTGCTGGATCAGGAAGAAATCCCCCATTTCCTTCCTCATTGACCCCTATAAGTTTTCCCAAACCCTGTGACTGGCAGGAAGAACATTCACTAAGAGAGGCAAGAGGGTTGGGGAAGGGATGCGGAGGCCACACAGAGAAGCAAGGACAGCCATCCTTTCCTCAGCCTCTACCCTGGAGCCTGGGTTATATGGAAGAGCTGCTGGGCTGGACGCTGTGTCTCTGACAGCCTCCTCACCCCCAATTAAAACTAGACACAGTGATTTCTCCAGTTTCTTCTCTCTCCTTTGTGTTCCTCCCTCTCTCCTGGAGGTGTGTGACTTTTCCAAAATTTATCTCCATTCCTTAAAAGCTGATTTATCTTTCGTTTTACTTTGTGTTTTAGGCTGGCCATCATGACAAACATGATTAACTCCTGCCTTGCTAATCCACGTCCGTTATTTCTCATATGCAATGTTGAGGGTCCATAAAGAAGCAAGATGGGACAGAGAAAGATTTACAGGGGTGGCATTTTGCCAGAGAAGTTCTCTGGCTGGGGGCTCAGATTTATTTTTACAATAGCCAAAGGTGGGATAATATATACAGGGTTCTCTTCATAGGCAATGAGTTAGGGGGCTAGCTTAGGGTGGAGGTGGGTGGGGGTGGCTGTAACTAACTGGGCTGCTATTAGAGGTGTATGGGGGAGGAGGTGGTATGGGTCTTCAGTATTTTTCTTCCCATTATCCCAAAGCCTGTTGGAAAGGAAAACTCTACACAGAGGGGAGGCATGAAGGGAGTGACTGGAAAGACTTTTAGGGAGAGGGAAGCAGCTGTCTGACTCATAAAAAGGCGAGGGGGGGTAGTAAGAAAGAGAGCTCTGACCACCCTGCTCACCAACTGCATTTCGCTACTAGAATGATAATAACCCACATTTATATGACACTTTAAGGTTGGCAAACCTGCCAGTGGTCACTCAGGCACTGAGGGTTAGAAATCGGCATCCATGCAGGTCTCTCCCCTCACTCTATATTCACCAAGTGAGAACTGGGAGGAGAAACACTAACTCCTATTTCTCTCCTGCCTTAAGGTCTGCAAAGGGCTTTCCTCCCAACCACCCTGTGAGACATGCATTGCAAGTGTTATTTTGCTCTAATACCCATTTTACAGATGAAGAAACTTAGGAGATTCAGAGAGATGAGTAACTGGCCAGTCCATTGAAGAAATGACAAGTCCAGATGTGAACACACACCTCTGAAGGCCGAGTGAAGGCTTCTCCTCCTTTCCCTCCCCTGCCCTAGTCATCCCCTCTTTTCCCCTTCCCTCCCCCCCTCTTCTCTCCTTCTCTCCCCTTCCCTTTTCTCTATTTGCTGCATCTGCAAAGGACAACACTGTTGCTGAAGAGGCATTCCTGAAAAACTCCAGTCATGCAAAAGGAATCCCATTGTAAATGAAAACCGACATTTCTATAGTGAGGTTCGTTTCCAAAACGCTTTGGTTACTCACTAGACCCACCAGAGCCCAGTACTGAGGAGCGGTCAGACAGGTAAACAATAGGATTCAAAGGTGGAAGGGACTTTGGACATAGCCCAGTCCCCTCTGCTTGCTGTCCAAGGTCAAACAGGAAGCAAATCCTAAAGGCAGAATTCAATCCCAGGACCTCTGACCCCAACTCCAAGGTAATTTCTACTCTTTCACTCTGTGGCTTTTTTTTAAAAAGCAAAACAGTCACACCCTCCTTTCCACTACATCTCCACAGTTGAGTGGAAAGATCATTGGATTTATAGAGTTGTAGGGACGCAGGTTCAAGTCCAAGCTAACTGTGACACCCTGAGTGGGCTACTTCTGCTCTCCGAGGCTCAGTTTCCTCACATGTAAAATGGAGACAATAATATTGGGCCCAACCAACCTCACAGGCTAATCGTGAGGTCCAATTCCTAGTGTGAAAGTTCCCTCCACTGATGCAGAGATCACTCCTCTGTATCGTATAGGCTTAGGTAATTCTCCAAGGCACTTAAGAGGTCATGTGAATGTAAGAAGCAAGATTTGAACTCAGTTGACTCCAGGGTAGATCTATCCATTATGTCAGGGCTCTGTAGAATAATGATCATCATTATTTATTCCTCTATATGCAAATATATCATCATCCCTTTTAAAACCTCTCCTTCACTCACTCTCCCAACCCCTCAGCCAGGCAGTTCTGGTCCCCAGAGTATGATTGGGTCCTCATCCCTTCAGAGATATAAGGGCAACAAGGAAGAGATGTGGAGGGGATTTCTAGCACTCAGCTCACAAACGTTCATCTGCTGCCTCTCCTTCCCCCACCATGATGCATTAACATTTCCCCACGATCAATTAACCAATTAACATCAATTAGCTTTCACAGCCCCTGTCTGGAAAAGGTCATTGCACATTGTTAGTACATTCCTTTTCTCATTCCAAAGAAGGAGACTATAAAATAATCGTCCTTCTCAGAGAGATTGGAAATTCCCCACCTCCACCTGAAGGAGCCCAAGGTTGGTTCTCAAACTCCTCCCTGCTTCTTCTGCTTTATTTCCCTAATCACATGTGACCAAACATCCCTCCCAAGACAAGGACATTTCTAGCCACCTCGTGAGTTCAAAATGATGAAACTCCCAAGTGCTGACTGGAAATAGGAGGGCCTTTCTGCCAGCAAGCACTTCTCAGTACTGTGCTGTTCCTCCGTTGGAAAGTAAGCTCCAAGGGGGCAGGGAAAATCTTCCCTTTTTACTTGCATTATAATGTGTGCCTGACGGACACCGAAGGCTTAATAAAGGCTCCCTGACTTGCCTTGACATTTCAGAGTTCCTCATCGGTTATATGTTGCAGCCTGCTGTGAGAGATGATCTCTCAAAAGTGAAGCCTCCTCAGGGGATTAATAGTTCTTGTTAATATTTCTTGATTGTGGCTTTCAAAACCCTCCCTCTGCTCAGACCCTGTTGTTCTTTTTTTTAAAGGCTTAGCAGAAAGAATAGCCCTGCCCCCAACCTCAACTGCTTGCCCTTTGAAAAACTTCCCGCCTTTTCTTGTCTCTGGGATAAGGGGGAAGGGGGTTAGGGAGGGGAAATTGCAGTAAATTTTGGTTTCCTAGGAATTACCTAACTCATGGGAATTCAGCCCTAAACTCCCTTCCTGATCACCACACCACTGCTACATCAGCATTAGGTTTACTAAATAAGGACTTGTATGTTTGGATTGGCTATACCCTGTTTCCTTGTTCTTTGTCTTTGAATTTTCATGCCTAAGAATGTAAGCCCACTTCCCCAGCCAATGGGAATAAGGGATAGCGGTGGGTGGAGGTTTGTTTGCATTGGGGTACATAATCTCATTTCCCTTTCTGTGCCTTGCCTCTCCCCTCCTGGAAGTGTACCTGGGGATCAGATGCCCCTTCTCGAGAGAATGTAGTAAAAAGTAACCTTTGCTTCCACCTTGAGAAGTCTCTGAGTTTAATTGATTTAAAGTCACTGTCCCACACACTGCTCACATCCACTATGTACCTGTCCACTGTTCTCTGAAAGATAGCCATTTCTGAGTTCTTTGGGGACAGTAGGGTTCTAGATCTCGAAATAATAATAATAATAGTTGAAATTTATATATCACTAAATGATTTATAAAAGGAATAGATATATGCCCAGTTCCTAAATTCTTCTTGTATCTTCCTAATGAGTTGCTAATTCCTTAAAAATGTTAACAGGATTTTAAATGCAGTCTGGACAGGACCAGTCTCTAACCTGTGAATAGCTGGAGCTTCACAAAGCAGACGTGGAAACAGGAGTGCCAAGAATCAAGTATCGCTGTAATTAATCAGTTTTAGAGTGAGGAATGTTCTACATGCCCTGAGTAAAGGCACAGCTTATACATAAATAACAAGTGGGAAAAGAGAGGGAAAGGTGGATTGCCAACAATCATTTCTAGGGCTTGAGCAGTTGCCCTGAGTCCACAATACAGGTGTTCTGGAGTCCTGTGGGAAATATATTGTTTCAAGTCTTTGGGTGTCATTACTCGGTGGGGCAAAGGACCGGAGTTCTATGACGGGAACAGGTTCTACAACCTTTGACTCACTTCACTTTTTTTTTTTTTTTTGGTGAGGCAATTGGGATTAAGTGACTTGCCCAGGGTCACACAGCTAGTGAGTGTTATGTGTCCGAGGCCGGATTTGAACTCAGGTCCTCCTGACTCCAGGGCCGGTGCTCCATCCACTGCGCCACCCAGCCGCCCCTCGCTTCACTTCACATTCACGGGCACAGGAGTATAGTGATTATGACAGCGTTGTCAAGGGTTTGATTGATCATCTCAAGCTGCATCGTAAACTTCTGACCCCCAAGCCAGAGAAGGCAGCTCTGAGAAATCTAAATTATTAGGGTACTCATTACACATACCATATAGATTAACGTGAAAATCATAAATCCCTTCACAAAAACAAACGAGCTGCTTTATGTATTAATGTGCCTAGCCCTAAGTTCTGTTCTTAACCCTTTAATTAGGTTACTGATTGAATCAATACTTAGTTCATATACCTGGTTTAAACTCTTGGACCTGGACTTTAAAATGGAGAGGAAAAATTTAGGAAAATGCTAAAATATGAGTAAAATCATATAGCAGAAGAGAAGGGATAAATTTGGAAATGAAGGGGTTTACACTAAAAATGTAAAGGGAAAACAGAAACAGACATAAGAAAACTAGTGAAACAGGGCTGAGAGGCAAAGGGGGGGGGGCTACATACAGATGCAGAGGGATCCTTCCAGGGGAAGCACGTGGATATACAAACCTTATGCAAAGAATCATGTGGCCCCAGACTCAGCAGCAGGAGACAGGAGCAGAGCTCCTGGACAACTGGAGTAATCTTTGGACAAAGCCATCTGGACCCACAGAAAAATTTCCTGGTAGAGAAAAAAAGTTTCCTTGCAGAAACCTGAGTCAAAGAGCAGGGGAGGAGTAAAGCCAAACCTATAATTCCCTGGTATTGTGAGTTATGTGGACTGTGTAGGTCTAGGGAGGGGATTTGGCTCTCTCAAATCCTTGGCAGTGCTCTGAGTCTGCAGAAGTATTGCAGTCCCTAGATGAGGTAGACTTCTGCTGAGAAAGGAGCTGTTTTGATATTTAAGGACTAAAGTGGTGATTCCCTCCTTTCTTTTTTGGCTGGCTTCTCTATTCATGTCTTGTTAGCCTGAGTGCTTTCCTAAGAGCAAGAGTCCCTTTTCTTGTATAGTGGAGTCCAAAAGACCTGAGTCATATTCTAATACTTCCAGAATAAATACTGGATGGGAGGTAAATGGGACAGACTTTTTATGTTCCCAGGGAGGAAGACATACAACCTTGTCTCTATAAACCCAGACTGTCCTTTCTGGGCCACCAGAAACATTATTGCATTTGATCCACAAAACAACTTTATGAGGTTGATAGCACAAATATTAGTGTCCCCATTTTACAAATGAGAAACTGAGGCTCAGATTAAATGACTTGCCCATGATCTCACTGCTCAGAAGTGTTAGCAGTAAGATTTAAACCCAGGTCTTTAGAGGCACCAACTCTGGCATTCTTTTGTCTTCTCCCAGTTCCCAACCTTTTCAAGCCTGAGAACCTCTTTCTAAAATAATACTAGTAATAATAGTAATACTCACTATGTGCTAAGCACTTTGCACTTATTACCTCATTTGATTCTCATAACAACCAATGGGAGTGTGAGAAATAATCATTAATAACCTCATTTTAAAAATTCAGTCAAAAGAACATTGGATAATGAGATTGCTTTAACCCTCCGGATCTCTCAGACCCCACCCAACCTTGCTAGGAATTTAATCTAGGGTGGGGAGGCCTATTGTGTTCTACTCAAGCTTGGGTAGAGACAGATCCTTTTGTCTAGAGAGCCCAAGGCTGGGAGTGGTCTGGTATGGAGATAATTTTTCTGTTTAGGGGTGAAATAATGATGCAGTGACACAGCCCTTGTTGGAAGAGTATATAAACGGTGCGGCCTAACCCCAAAGGGAGCTCAGTTCTGACTGCAGCTCCCATGCATGTTTCCGCCGGCTTTGAGGGAAATAAACATGCATAAAACTATTTTTGTTTGTCTTTCTTAGACCCAGCTCTGGAGGTTGATATATGATGGTTGGATGCCCTTTATTGGAAGGCTATGTAAACTGAGTCCCACCCATGCCACGATTGTCTTTATCTAAGGAGATGGCCAAATGACTATCCTTTTATTAATAACATCCAGGCCTTATTAATAAAATGATTAAATTATCTAGAAGCTATGTCTCTTGAAACTTTTTAAACATCACAGTTAGTATGTGCTATTATCCCAATTTCACAGATGAGGGAACTGAGAAAAACAGAGAAGGTACTTGCCCATGCAATTTTATTTTTATTATTAAAAAAATTTGTCATTTACATTGCTATTATTTGTTTTTTACACCACATGCATTTCTGAATAGATTTTTCCACCCTCCTCTCCCTTACAGCGATTGTGACAAAAGGTAAAAAAGAAAGCAAAGGTAAAAAGAAAACAGTTTGACAAAACTACCCAAGATATCATTGGAGCCTGGCAGGATAGCAGTATTCCATACCCATAACCCTCCACCTCTCCCACAAAAGAAGAAAGGTTCGATTTCTCATCTCTTCTTTGAGGACAGAGCTTGGCTGGGGATCTCATCAAAGAAAGTTGACTTTAATAGTAGTAGTATTAGTATCCATTAATTTGGAAAAAACACCCTCAATGACAGAAAGCTTTTATGAATTTATGTTTTTAATCTCAATATCTCACACACTTGAAAGACACTGATGCACTTACAAGTTCATTCTACAGAAGGCATGTTTGTTTGTTTATAATGCTGAGTTAATAAAAGGAAAGAGGATAATGGCTGGGCTTGTTGTAGAAATGGAATCAGAATCACAAACCACTGTGCCACTCTACCCATGTGTCCTCACTCCACAGAGTGGAAAATGAGATTTTATATTCCCCCTCCCAATTCATTTTTATACTGTCCACACAAAATGGGCTGATGATGAAAATGATAAACACCAAGTGAGGGCTACCACTTAATCAGCCAGAATTTGTTGTTCAGTTGTGTCCAACTCTCCATGACCTCATTTGGAGTTTTCTTGGCAGAGATACCAGAGCAGTTTGCTATTTCCTTCTCCAACTCATTTTGCAGATGAGGAAACTGAGGCAAACAGGGTGAAGTGACTTGCCCAAGGTCATACAGCTAGTATGTGTCTGAGACCAGATTTGAATTCAGGATGATGAGTCTTCATAACTCTAGGCCTGGTGTTCTATCCACCATACCACCTAGCCACCCTTCAAGCAGAATAGTATTATTTAAAGTCATGAGCCTGTCAGGATTGAAGAAGAAACTCTGGCTGATGTCCAAAGTAAATGGAGAATAATCCCAGAGATGTGCTTTCATTTACCTTTGTGTTTTCAAGACTAATCATCTGTTTAAACAAAGGCCTTGTCTGCCTCTTAGGAGGACAAGCCTTGTTTGTGTTTCCCAAGTCGTATATTTAAAAATAGCTGGTCAAGATCTGAAAACATTTTGAGGCTGAAAGGTCCTAATTAAGGATAATTTTTCAATTAAATAAAGAATTGCCTTTGGGATGAGAAAGCCAAACAAAGGCACCGTGAATTAAGTAGGTTATTGTCCTCTGAAGACATTAGTCAGAATTTGGCCTTTAGCCAGGACAGATACACAGATGTCTGCCTCGAGGCTCCTTAGCCTAGAAATTCACTCTGGGTAGACCTTTCTCATTAGACTGGAAGCTCTCTGAGAGCAGGGACTGCTTTTGTTTTTTCTCTTTCTTTGCACCTCAGTACCTGGCACATGGTAAGTCCTTTGTAAATGCCTATTGATTGACTGACTGAGCTTAGATAAATCTTCATTTGATTCACCTCTAAGTGTTCATTGTGTATGTCTGAGGTTAGGGAGCTGGGACAGGGTGTCATGGTCCCAAGGGCACTGTGTCCCCCAGGCATGAAATCTGATGCTCCTTTAGCTATTGGCCTGAGATAAAGCCCTTCAGTCCTCAAGAGCCATGGTTGCCTTCTCCGTAAAATGAGTGAAGGTTGATCACTAAAGTCCGTCTCAGCAGCGAATAATAGTAATAACTAACACTGATATAGCCCTTACTATGGGCCAGGCACTGTACTAAGGACCATAATTTTTATCCCACTTGGTCCTTACCTGAAAGGTAAATGCTATTATTATCCCCATTTTACAGATAAGGAAACCGAGGCAGGCAGAGGTGAAGTGACAATCCCAGAATTACACAGTAAGTGTCTGAGGCCAGATTTAAACACAGGCCATTCTGACTCCAGGCCCATCATTTCATCTAACTGTCTCCTACTTGGGGGAAAGAAGGGGAAGGAGACTCTGGTGAACAGAATCTACTATCCAGGGTGCTTCTGGCTACATTTTTAAAGAAATCAAAAACCACTTCCCAGAAGCAGAGAAGATGTTACTTTAATATTTCACCAACTCCATGGAAGTGTGAACCCTGTCAATGTGAGTGTGACAGTCCAGAAAGCCATCTCCCAGACCTTCATCTTCTAATCCAAGGTGATTCACTCCTGTCCCCACAGACTTCACCTTCTTATCTCAAGTGACTCTTGTCTGAGTCTTCAGGTGCATCTGTCTTCTCCACGGGACTGAACCCAGTCACTGGAAACCCTCTTGAAAGTGTTACATCCTTTGTAGAGCTTGGGCTGTCCACGGGTTGCTAAAAAAGACACAATCCCAGTCAAGACAACAGTTATTGAACCAAATATTAGTTCCCCTCTCCATTATAAGCAGTGAAAAATATGCTGAAAATCACCTAAGCTTTCTTAAGCCTCAGTTTCCTCTTCTGTAAGATGGGGATCATAATAGCAGCTACCTCACTAGATTGTTGTGAAAACCAAAGGAGATATTGCAGGGCTTAAGGTCAGAAGAAAGCTGTATGGTCAGGAGAAAGAGGAAAGTACAACCAGGATGTTTTAGCCTGATGCTGCCCTTTGCCCTATATTTCCTGGTCTGTCTAGCCCTGCCTCCTTCAGGAGTGCCATTGAGGATGCTACAAAGATCAGAAGGAAAGAGAGGTGGCTCACAGGGAACCAGTCCTGGCAAAGAGCAAGAATCAGTCTTCTCCCTCTCGTCTGGCTCAAGTCAAGAGCACATTGAGGACTGTAGTGTCCCCTCCAGGCGGGCTGGCTCCACTCTCTTGGACCGGGAGAACAGTTTGTCATAAAGGAAAAAAGAGTTTGCAGATCTTTTGACTCTTTCTTCCGTTTGTTGTCCTTTTGATCTTGTCTTTCATTGTCCTTGGGATAACTGCTCTGCCCCTTTCTCAGCAAGCTTTCTTTAAACTGGCTTCACCCTCTACTGCTTCTCTCCATCTTCTAAGAGATGCTGCGCTTTATCTTCCCATAATCTTCCCATCATCCTTCTCCAGAAAATTCTACAAATTAATCTCTATTCTAAACCAGTGTCTCCCTAGGCATCAATCTCTCTCCACTTGTCCGCTGACTAAGACACAGAATAGACTCTTATGGTCTCCCCTGTCATGGCTGTTAATTTCCATTGATTAAACTTCTCTAGGAAATTATTGTAATTGTTATTGATGTCTATTTCTTAAAGAATTAAAGCATACTAAAATGTAACTATCTGTATTTTGTTTTATACTTATAATTCCATTGGTCTAGGGAGTTAAAACCCTTTACTAATGTAGTCCAGCAACCGTTTCCTGTAGACTTCAAGAACGACCTAGATTTAAAGTGACTTGCTCAGGGTCACACCCAGCATGTTTCAGAAGCAGGAACTGAATCTGAATCTTCCTGACTCCGAGGCCAGTTCTTTATTTTATTTTATTTTATTTTTGTCTTTTTTTAAAAAAATATTTATTTAGCTAGTTTTAGTTTTCCATAGTGACTTTTATAAGATTTTGTGTATTTAGTTTTCTCTCCCTCCTTTCCCTCTCCCTTCCCAAGATGGCGTGCAATCTGATATAGGCTATACATGTACAATCATACTAAACTTATTTTCACATTAGTCATGCTGTAAAGAAGAATTAGAACCAATAGGAGGAACCACAAGAAAGAAGAAACAAAACAAAACAGGAGAGAAAAAAAACAAAACAAAACCAGCAAATAGTATGCTTTGACCTGCATTCAGACTCCATAATTCTTTCCATGGATGGGGATAATATTTTCCATGATGAGTCTTTTGGAGATGTCTTAGATCCTTGCATTGCTGAGAAGAGCTAAGTCTGTCAAAGTCAATCATTGCACAATATGGTTGTTACTGTGTACAGTGTTCTCCTGGTTCTGCTCACTTTACTTTACTCAGCATCAGTTCATGCAAGTCTTTCCAGGTTTTTCTGAAGTCTGCCTGCTCATTATTTCTTATGAAACTATTTAGTGTTCCATTAGATTTATATACTTGTTCAGCCATTCCCCAATTGATGGGTATCCCCTCAAACTCCCATTCTTGGCCACCACAAAAAGAGTTGCTATAAATATTTTTGTACACGTGGTCCTTTTCCCATTTTTATGATGTCTTTGGGATACAGGCCTTGAAGTAGCATTGCTGGCTCAGAGGGTATGCACAGTGTTATAGCCCTTTGGGCATAGTTCCAAATTACTCTCCAGAATAGTTGGATCAGCTCACAACTCCACCAAACAATGCCTTAATGCTCCAGTTTTCCCACATCTTCTCCAACATTCATCATTTTCCTGTTTTGTCATGTTAGCCAATCTGATAGTTGTGATGTGGTACCTCAGAGTTGTTTTAATTTGCATTTCTCTTATCAGTAGTGATTTAGAGCATTTTTACATATGACTATAGATAGCTTTAATTTCTTCCTCTGAAAACTGTGAGGCCACTTCTTTAGCTGTGACCTCAGGCTGCCTCTTCCTTTAAAAATCCAGCCATTACTTTACAGAGCTAGCAAAAGAAAAAAAAGAGAGAGAGAAACATTCATCTGAAGGAATACCTTCCTTTTTTTTCAAAGGAAAAATGAAAAAAAAGTGAGAAGGAAGGAGAGTCTAGCAGTCCCAGATCTCTACCAGCTGTAGAGGCAGCCAGGTGGTATAGATGCTACTGTGGGTGAGACAAGGTCAGGAGAGTTTGGGTTCAATTCTTGCTTCAGACATGTCAGCTGGGCAAGAAATGAGAAAATGGATGGTTTCAGAGAAACCTGAGAAGACTTGAATGGACAAATGCAGAGTGAAGTGAGCAGAATCAGGAGTATAACACATGCAATAAAAAAACCACCATTGTGAAAACAAGCTATTTTGAGAGATTTGATGTGAGAAATAACTCATTCAGACTCAAGAAGGATGAAGTTAAAAGCCAGTTTATTACGCAGTTGCAAAAGCAGATGTTTTTTTGAATAGGCACCCCTACCAAAGCAAGAGTTAGCTTTTTATTTCTAGTCCCTGCTGCAAAGTCCCTCCTCTGTTTCCTCACTGGCTGAGAACTCCACAGCCTACAACTTTCCAGCACGCTTATTACACATCTACTCCTTGACATCTCCTTCCTCCATCTACATACATCGCATGTTCAGAAAATGGAGTCTTAGCCCCACCTGGAGGTGGAGAAGTTAATATTCATGAGTCTATTAAGCACGCACACTCTAAGCAAAGCTTAACCTTTGTCCTACTTAGTGACTTCTAACAGCAAAACAAGACAACACTGGCTGTATCCTGTTTTACTTAGTTATTTTTCTAGCTGTTGTTTCAATTTTATGGAAACAAGCATTTTCATTATATCTCTCATTTAAGAGCTCTGATCAAGGCAACAATGGCAGAGATGCAGATGAGACATCTGCTTTTAGATGTGGCCAAGGTGGGGATTTGTTTTCCCTGACTCTGCTTTTTTGTTATAACAGGGTTATTTTCCCTCTCTTTTTTTTGGGGGGGGGGAGGAAAGGAAGTGAGAGGGAGAGAAAATAAGTGTTAACTGAAAAAATAAAATGTAAAAAAAATGAAAATAAGACTGCAGCCACTGTAACAGTTTGTTCAGAGTGCAGTCTGTCCTCTCTCCTTTCACTTTCATCTCTGCCGGGATCGCCTCATCTTTCATCATAAAACTTGGAAGACATTGTGTAACTTTGAGATAAATAGGAGGGAAAGATTTCAAGCTTTCACAGTCACCTGAGCCCACTCTCGCATTTTTAAGACATCAATTTTTTTTTTAGTTTGTTTTCCATCAGAAACCAAATTTAGTAAATTCGGGACAAAAATAGGCTGCTACTGCCCTCTGAACTCCCTGGCTTCCATTAATCTGCCAGGAGATTAAAACCACTTCGGGTGCATTGTCTAGAATACCAAGCTCCTTGTAACTGTTTGTTATACATTGTAACCCATTGTAACACATGGTAACTCCCCGGAATTCCAATGTCAATATTCTTGGTCTCAGACCACTCAAGTATTTCCTCAGAATCACAGCTCTGGAATTTCACAGATTAAACAGAGAAACAAAAACAAATTCATTCTAAATGCTCTTCTGATGGGAAATAAAGTGCTTTCCTGAACAGAAGAAGGAAAATGAAACAAACAGCCTCCCCCTATCCCCTACCCCTACAATGGTTTCTTTCTCTAAGGTGGGGGCGTGGAGTGATGAGGCAAAAATGTGTCCCTCCACTTCGTGGATCTGATCTGAAAGTCTTATTCTCACACTTGGCCTTCAGATTTCTCCTCTCCACCCACGATGGGACTATGGGAAAGGAAAGGAAAGGAATCACTGTGCTTCCCACCTGGTGAGCTCAAAGTACAAACATACAAGGCATTTTTGGCAGAGTGGAGTTATTTTCTTTGGGAAGGGGGTGGGGGAAGACTGAAAAGGAAATTTGCACAAGATAAGGTTCTGAGCTTTACCAGTGTAAGATTTAGAACTGGAAGGCGCATCTTGTCTAACCCCCTTATTCTACTCAGGAGGAGCTAGCAGCCTGGGTGGTTAAGAGGTTTGCCCCCGGAGGGAGCAGCTAGGTGGCACAGTGGATAGAGCACCGGCTCAGGAGTCAGGAGGACCTGAGTTCAAATCCGACATCAGACACATAACACTCACTAGCTGTTGTGACTCTGGCCAAGTCACTTAACCCTAATTGCCCTCACCAAAAAAAAAAAAAAAAAAGAGATTTGCCCCTGGACACAGAGCTACGAGGGCCTCTAGGTGGCGCCTTAATACAGGACCTGGAATGGGGAAGAATCGGCTTCCTCTGTTCGTCTGGCCTCAGATAACTTGTGACCCTGGGCAAGTCAATTAACCTCTGCTTGCTTGTTTTCTCAACTGTAAAATAGCACCTACCTGGCAGTGTTGTTATGAGGATCAAATGAGATATTTGTAAAGTGCTTAGCCTGGCACATAGTGCTACGTAAATGTGAATTATTATTAATATAGACTTCCTGCTTGTCCTTTAAAGTCTAATGCAAAGGGACCCTCTGCTTCACTTTGTCTTTCCCCCCCATTTTGGGGAATTATGCAAATTATTAATGGAAATCAGTAAAGCTTGGAGATTGTTGATTAGGGAAGAAATCTTTTCTTTTCCTAACCATGAAACAGACTGGCACTTCTGCTCTATAGCGCCTTCTCTAGGATCCCAACTAGTCACTGTGACCCCTCCCTCACATATACCCTCTATAACAGACATTCAGAATGCAGTAAAATTAGCTTATCTTTATCCAGAGACAACACCTGGCAGCAAAGGACAAGGATATAAAATAGGAAAAGATCAGGGAATTC